GTTCATTGTGTACGCGCACTGTTTGTGTATACTGTGTATGCAAGCTCAGTACACTCATTGTTTACGCACACTTTGTACGCAATCACATTACAATGAGTTGATGTCAGTCACAGTACATTATTTATCGTGCACGGTAGTCAACGTTATTGTTGAAGCTCGACCATCGTGCGCTGTTTTGTAAATTCAAAGACTTGCGATGTTGTTATGAGGCAGTGGTCAGCTGATGCACCTGTGCAGTGCAGCTGACAGGTGCCCCGCACACTTGCGACGGCCACCTGATACCACATAACTTATTTCACAGAAGCAAGAGTTCAGGACGGATTAAAAATTCTATCGCAATCAATATTAAGACCAAAGTTAAGAACACGATCATATTTCGAATTAAAATTGAGGTTCAGAACAATATCATCTTCAAGATTATGACCGAGATTGAAGACATGATCGTTGTTGAGGTCAAGACTGAGATTGAAAACAAGATCGTCTTGAAGATCAACATATCAAGTAAGATCAAGACCGAGATTGAAGACATGATCGTAGTTGTGGTCAAGACTGAGATTGAAAACAAGATCACAACACTTCCCGTAAGATCAAGACTGAGATGAATTCCCCCGGCCAGGTTTTGTTTGGATCGCTGGACGCGCGCAGCCTGCCTTCACTTTACTAACACACACGTGTTGTTGTGAGGGAGACGTGCTCCTCACAGCAACACGTGCTCCTCACAGTAACACGTGCTCCTCACAGCGACACGTGGACACGTCAACAATGCTCACGAGACCCCTGAGTACTCACGAGACCCCTGAGTACCCACGAGACCCCTGAGTACTAACGAGACCCCTGAGTACCCACGAGACCCCTGAGTACTTGAGTACCCACGAGACCCTGAGTACCCATGAGACCCCTGAGTACCCACGAGACCCCTGAGTACCCACGAGACCCCTGAGTACCCACGAGACCCCTCGTGCCCTTGGCAGACATCTTGGGCTGCGGCTGCAGCGGCCGTCATATTTCATGGGCGAGGAAAGGGCATAAGACGCGCGTCTCACGAACCACAGGAAGAGACTCGAGACGCGCGTCTCTCACGCCACAGGAAAGGGCATAGAATAGAATAGAAGTGTCGACACTGAAGAAATAGGCCCATGGCCTGTTGCCGATTCTTGAAATTTTCGTGACTTGATTCACAAGGGATCCGGCCTTTGGAACCCGATCTTTCCATAGCTGACGATTGATTGAGATAGCTGCTGGACTTATTGCCTGGTCCGTAATTTGTTAGGCATTTTAAGTTTGAACATATGCTCCTGCAGAGCTTCGTATACGACGCTCGTCTCACAAGGTACAGGAAAAGACACGAGACGCGCGTCTCATGCGCCACAGGAAAGGGCACGGAAAAGGATGTATAGAGCCGATAAATGATCAGCTCAAGATACAAATAGGTTCAGTCTCGCTGTATCAGAAACACAGCTCACATGGCACACATGATAGATGTATCTGTGACTGATATCGGTCTTGATTTTATACCCTACTTAACGTTACTTAACTGCTGCTCATTACTTATATCTACTTAACTGCCGCACACTACTTACCTCTACTTAACTGCTGCACGCTACTTATCTCTACTTAGCTGCCGACACTAATTAACTTTTCATAACTGGTGGACACTACTTGACTTCTCCGAACTCGAAATACACTACTTAAATTTAATTAAATTTACTCAAATATTTCACTGGCTTGAAACACATCCGTCTTTTAAACGTCAAATTTAATTTCTCGCTGGACATATGGCATGTGACGCCCGTCTACAGCCATGTCAAGCAGGTAGGAGAATGTCGCCCGCCTAGAGACATTCATTGCTTGACAGTCACCTGTCAATGGCCATTAATGCTGGACAGTCGCCCGTAGAGTGAAATTCATGCGGAAAAGTCGTCCGCCAAGTGTCATTCATGCTGGACAGTCGCTCGTCCAGTGACACTCATGCTGGACAGTCGCTTGTCAAGTGAAATTCACGCTGGATTGTCACCCGAATAGATACATTCATGCTGGACGGATAGTCGTCCTCAAAGTGACACTCATGCTGGACAGTCGCTTGTCAAGTGAAATTCACGCTGGATTGTCGCCCTACTAGAGACATTCATGCTGGACAGTCGTCCGCCAAGTGACACTCACGCTGGACACTCATGCTGTCACGGGTGCGCGGCGAGATAAGTCTTATCGCGGTGGGACGCAACACGATAACAGCGCCCATCTGTCGGACAGCGGAGGCGCAACAGGCAAGCCCGACGCGGCCGTCCGGTCCTGCCACAACAATTAAACCGTCCGGGAAAACCACGTAACACCTTCACAGTGACGGCGTTACCATTACAGCGTTACGGGGCACTGAAATTCATTGTAATATAACTCGCGACGGCCGAGGGAGAGCGCAGGGCGAGGCTGCGTACGACACCGCGAGCTTAACGCTACTGACGCAGGAGGTCGCTGGGGGCGCGATGCTCCCTGGCGTGACGTCATCGTGTTAGCCTCCTCCCATTCGCTGATTTCATTCAAGAAGTGCGTACACACGAGCCTACACAAACGCACACACTCTTAAAGCAGATCAACACGTGCATGGCGTGTGCGCTTTTAGCGCACAGCTCTGCAACCATATGGCGGCTCGCACAAACGTCAATAGCTCTTCAGTTTTCCAGCATTTGTCTGTTTAACAATCATTATTAGACACACTCTGTGCCTTCACACTGACAAAACCAAAGAATTTGACACTATTGGTTTGATTTATATATTATTTCGATTTGTGGCTATTTTATTTCGATTCCTCACACCGATCTCTGCAAAACTTCGCTTCCTTAATTAATTAACCCTTACTACTCCTGCAGGTCCAGCCTCCACAAACGTGAATATTTCGCACGATCAGTCGGCGCTGAAATTTAGCCATTCACTGAAATATGAGATCATGTGCACATGATGAGTTATTATATGATGAACAGGTAACCAGTCACTTGTGCTGTTACTGAGAGTAACGCTTGTGCTGTTACTGAGAGTAACGCTTGTGCTGTTACTGAGAGTAACGCTTGTGCTGTTACTTAGAGTAACGCTTGTGCTGTTACTAAGAGTAAAGCTTAATTGTGCTGTTACTAGTAATGTTACTGAGAATAACGCTTGTGTTGTTACTGAGAGTAACGGTTGTGTTGTTACTAAGAGTAACGCTTGTGCCGTTACTAAGAGTAACGCTTGTGCTGTTACTGAGAGTAACGCTTGTGCTGTTACTGTGAGTAACGCTTGTGCTGTTACTTAAGAGTAACGCTTGTGCTGTTACTAAGAGTAACGCTTGTGCTGCTACTAAGAGTAACGCTTGTGCTGTTACTAAGAGTAACGCTTGTGCTGTTACCAAGAGTAACGCTTGTGCTGTTACTAAGAGTAACACTTGTGCTGTTACTAAGAGCAAGAGTAACGCTTGTGCTGTTACCAAGAGCAAGAGTAACGCTTGTGCTGTTACCAAGAGCAAGAGTAACGCTTGTGCTGTTACCAAGAGCAAGAGTAACGCTTGTGCTGTTACCGTGAGTAACGCTTGTGCTGTTACCGTGAGTAACGCTTGTGCTGTTACCGTGAGTAACGCTTGTGCTGTCATGAGTTACCCATAACACTTGTGACGTCATCGCAACATCCCCCATAGGGAAGGGGTGAGGTTGCGTGGGAGGCTGCGTGACGTCATGAGCTGATGGCGCGGGGATTGGGTTGGGGAGGAATTGATTGAACTCCTCCTCTCCTCCTCCCGGCAATACAAATTCATTCCACCCTCCGAGGAAAACACCAACTCCTTCCCCTCCACAGAGCACAATAGAGGAAACTGCACCGCAACCGCACGACAAGAATTACGATTTGACGTCTTCGGATTAGGAGATATTTTTCGTAATTCGATTATGGGCCTATTTCTTCAACGCCGACACTTCTGTTCTAATACAACAGTGTGTGCAGTGATGAATATGTTACTAAGTGGTACCTATGCTTTATGATATTGATTCGTATTTTTTCTTCACGATTCAGCTATGAGCCCATCCTCGAAGCCTTTATACGCCTGCACACTATACGTCTATACCGCTATACGCTCATACACGATACTTGTATATTCCTTTACACGATACCGTTTAAAGTCCCCCGACGTCAGGTATCAGTGGGAACTGTCCCGTTGCAAGCGAATAACAACCACGGTACCGGCCACACAGTCGTGACCGCCGTCCCAATTAACGTTCTTATTTGTAACAAGTAACTTGAGAACTAATCCTGCAGGAGGCATGAAACACGTGGAGTCACACAGGACACGCAGGAAGTTCCTCAGGACGTGGATGGACGTCTCATATAGGATGAGAGCTCAGCACTGCCTAAAATATGATCCCCAAACTGGGAATCATTTCCTCTTAGTTCCCCTCTTCGTTGGTTGTTCTACAATGGCTGAGGTTACAACGTCTTCGGTATTTCGTATTTGGCTTCTGTAAAGCTAATATTGACACTATTTTCGTAAGAGGATAAAATGCTTAACAAGACAAGATGAGCGACAATACCTGACGCTGACCTCGTAAGAGCAAAGACGCAAGCCTGAAGGACTCTCTGTGGGGCCAGGTTTTGGGAGAAAGAAAACGCTTCTTGTCTCGAATGTTTTTTTCTTAATACATCAATTTTTGCTGACTGATAGAAGATGTAGGCAGTAATTCTTAGTGATAACATCGTGCACACACGCATGCGAGCGGCACAATATTGGCTTGAGTTGCTATAGTTCATTATATCTCTTTGTTAACACGACGATCTACCGCACCGATTACGATGCCTGGCATTAAATATTTGCCACTTGCCATGAGATCGTTTGCCCGTGTTGGCAAGCCAATCACTTGACATGAGACCGTCTGCCAGTGTTGGCAAGCCAATCACTTGCTAAGATATTGCATTCCCCCAAGCTTCAGCACCATCGCCACGAAGGCTGGCACCGGCGACAATGTACGGGAAATAAGCAAAATCTAAAAAAAAAGTTTCGTTTACTTTGAAAACAATTTTCGGAAATCGTCATTCGATTTGAAATTAGCACTTTGTGCATTTACAGGATTGCTATCGTCAGGATTGCTATTGGTAGTATTGCTATTAACAGAGAGGTCATTGGTGCTATTTAATGTAGCGGCATCTGTGGGGGGCGGTGCCGGGGGCTTAGACTTGGTGATAGAGCGCGGCTTGAAGACCAGCGTGGGGCGGCGCGTGGTTGGAGCTGCGACTGGATCGGGCTTCCTCTCGTCTCCATCAGCTGAGGAAGCGTGCCCAGCTGCGGGTCCAGACGTACCAGCTGCGGGTCCAGACGCCCCAGCTGAGGGTCCAGACGTACCAGCTGAGGGTCCAGACGCCCCAGCTGGCGGCCCCCGCTGGCGTGACTGCTTGGCAGCAGACGGGTTGCTCACAAGCACCGTGATAGTGAAGTTCCTGAGCTGTGTTTGGTCCATGGCGACACGCACGCGTTCCGCCGTCGCCGCGTCCTCGAAACGAATAAAACAAGTCCCTTTGGAGTAGCCGTTGCGGTGCGTCACCAAGCGTATCTCCTTGACAGGGGCGTGAGCCTCGAACGCTGCCTTCACCTCCTCCTCGTTCATCGAGTAAGGAAGACCGCGTACAAAAAGTTTATCTTTCTCCTCGCCAGTCGCATACCTGAAGACGTGGCCCTGCTTGTCGGGGTCGTAGCTCGACACGAACATCGGGCGGCCACGGACCCGAGTTCGGTCTTTGTGCAAGGCTTTAGTCAGACCGCTGATCGTCTCGAAGACGACGAAGCCGAAGCCTTTAGACCGCCCCTTGAAGTCCTTGACGAGCCTGGCGTGACTCACTGTGCCGCAGTCCTTGAGTGCGTCCTTCACATCATCGATGCGCGTGCTGAAGTCCAGGTTGCTTACGAAGACCGTGAAGGCTTCCTTGCCAACCGCCACCTTCTCATCCACACGATCGTCTTCCTCTTCTTGCGCAGCTGAAGCAAACAACAAGTAAATGTTAAGGCTGGAGAACATCTGATAGATATTGAGAGAGAGAGAGAGAGAAAGTTAAGAAATGAAGTATTTAGCAAAACCAAGACCAAGAATAACTCTAACATACCTAGGTGACAAACATGATAAAATAAGAAAAATAGCAAGGTAAACTCGCCGATAGTCCTGACCTCTTATTTTCTTGGCGGGAGGTTGGGGCTCCTGCATTTCGCCGGTACTGAGAGGGCGTTTGGTGGCGGCTGGGGGGTGACCCACGTTCGTTGTTGGTGCTGATCCAGGCTTGGTTTGTTGGCCAAGCTTCTGGCGCTTAGGAGAAGCGGTGCTGCTGTGGCGCTGTGGCGAAGTGATGCTGTTGGTGGGGGCGTGTTGAGGCTGGGCTGCTGGCTGGCTAGCGTCCTCCTGTGAAACGTGCACACTCGCTTAACGCTGTGTCACACTACCAGCAGCAATAGGCAAGCAACAGTAGCGAGTATCAGCTGGCCAAACTGAGGGCATCAGCTGGCCCACCTGAAGGCATCAGCTGGCCTAAATGAGGCCATCAGCTGGCACAACTGAGGGCATCAGCTGGCACAAAAGAGGGCATCAGCTGGCACAAACGAGGGCATCAGCTGGCACAAACGAGGGCATCAGCTGGCACAAACGAGGGCATCAGCTGGCACAAAAGAGGGCATCAGCTGGCACAAA